TGAGCGTTTACTACCAATTTACTACCAAGCTGCAATTCAGTTGCAGATCTATCTACTACGATCTGAGCTGACATGGTTGAAAGCTTGAGAAATGCATCAGAAATCTTGCAAACAGTCAGTAGCTTAAGAAATTAATCCAAGTCTTCCATTTCTGTCTTCCAACAAGAACATTCTCCATCCTGCGTAAAAAGGTAACGCAAGATGGAAAAGGATATAAAATAATATCCAAAGTCTTGAATATGCCAGTCAGTACTGTTCAATCACTTATTAAGATGTGATATACTCAGGGATCTCTTGATAGCAAGCCAAGGTCAGGTAGACCAAGAAACATTGCAGCCACAACTGCTAGAAAAATTGGGATACAAAGAAATGATATTCGAAAAAAAACACTCCAGTTCTCAAATCAGGGTACTTCAGACAGTATGTAATGCTTCCTCAGGTGTAGCCCTCCACAGAAATTCCAGAGAAATGTAAAAACACATACAAGAGGGCACAGACTCCTTGTGCATTTCTTTCATAAAATGTTATCAAATGCCAAGAGACAAAGACATACTCACAAATGCAAAAGGCATATGTGAAAATAAATACTTAAAGGTCCATCCAGTCTCGGAACCTTCTGGTAAGTAGAACGAAAGCATTTCAGGAGTCAAGCTCCCTTCCTCAGAGCTGACGCTGAAGAAAAACAACAGGTAACCTCAGGAGAAATACAGGCTGCTCTGGAAAAAGATGGTGTGTTTTTTTCAAGGAGCACAATACGACTAGACATGAACAAAAATGAGAAGCATGATCGAATTGCCAGAAAGAAGACTTTACTGTGCCAATCTTCCAAAAACTCTCTAATAATCCCCAAAGAAAAGTCAACCTTTCACCCTTGAAAGTACAAACATCAAAAACCTTTTCTCCAATACCTTATAACCCAATACCCTAATGTTCTTACTGAAATTAATGTCCAAAACAAAGTCCAAAATGTCCAAAAAGTAAATCTTTCAAATGTTGTGTGAAATATCCAATTAGATTCACCGCTCCAGATCCAGGATACCTCAAAAACGAAATCTTTGATATTGGAATTCGGCTGTAAGAACTGCTGGGAAGGATGGACAATTTTTCCTGTATTTAAATGTAAGATTTTATTAAAGTTGTTATATTACCCTTTACACTCCACTGATGATTGCCCTCTCTGCCCTTACAAGGAGCGGGGGAGATTGAATTGGGCGTACCCGCATGGTGGAAGGTGCTAATACCCTGAAGTGCTGGTTTATGCTGATGTATGCTGAGAGAGGGTAATTGCATTGAATCCCACTATTGTGTGGCACCATTGAATGTAGCACATTATTACATGTTGTTTAGTTTGCTGTGAATTTAACCTCATGAGTGTGGGGAGCCAAGGATTGTTCACTTCTATTTAATCCAATTTGAAATTCACTTATTTTTATATTTTCTGAAGTTCTGAAATTCACGGTTTGAATTAGAGGTTCACAGAGTGCTGTGTCTATTCATCATATAGTTTTTTTTTTTCCCTCACTAGTGGTTTTGCATGGAATCACATACCACTGATTGATTTAAGGATAACGCACTATATTTAGTTTTATATTTTTGAGGTATCCTGGATCTGGAGCGGTGAATCTAATTGGATATTTCACACAACATTTGAAAGATTTACTTTTTGGACATTTTGGACTTTGTTTTGGACATTAATTTCAGTAAGAACATTAGGGTATTGGGTTATAAGGTATTGGAGAAAAGGTTTTTGATGTTTACTGTGCCAATGCCACAAAAAAACATAGTAGGCAAGTCAAGGTGTTATCGGGTATATTGTAACCAGGAGGAATAAAGGATAATTTATTTGTTAACCCAGTGTGTACTTTATTATTATCCTCTACCAACATATTGTCCATTCTATGCTGGAGTCCTTCTTTACTAAAATCATTCTTTTTCGCATGCAAATTCCATGCACAGCTATATACATCAATAATGATGTTTATACTTCTACCGGAGCATATTTAAGACCTTTATCCAGAACTTTCATCTTTTTTTCTGTAATTCCATTTTCTACGACTGTCTTTCTATTAGCTTTACATACCCTATATTTCACATAGTGTGTTATTTATTATAAGACAATGCTGCAGATTCTCACTTTTTGTTATCCCCTAATTTGATCATCATTCCTTTCGTAACTCATTGGAATGTTATTACTTGCAATATAGTGAGGTTACAATAGATGACAGTGGTCTGCTGGGCAGGGATCCTCACATCAATAAAACAGGCCTGTTGGGCTTGTATTTCAGAATAGCCGGATTTGATGGAGAACCAGAATGTTTGGGACTACATTTCCGAGCAGAGAGAGAGAAAGAGAGAGAGAAAGACAGAGAGAGACAGAGAGAGAGAGAGAAATTCGCTGACTGTCTGGCGCATTGCACTGCAAGCCGAATACCCTGACAGCAGGAGAGAGAGAGAGAGCAGATCTCCAGGCCTGCACCAGAGACTGTTCCTGCATCCTGCTAACTCACAGTGATTGGGTGAGAGAGACCCAATGTATCCCACGCTTTAATGAACATTTGCAAGATTGATATAAAAGTTGCCCACTAGCCCATAGCTGTGAACATTTCATACAGTTGCTAGGTCCTGGCCTAGTCGAGCCAGTGGCATTGTTGGAGTGTGTCTACACCACAGTCACTATTTACCCTGGCTGAAGGATATATTGCTACAGACTCAGTCATAACAGTGACAATTGAATCAACAAGCCAGTGATCTATCTGCCTAGCAGGACTCCTACTATTGTTCATTTTGTGCCTTGATCTCCAAAGATCTCCATCTTTGACCCCAGATGTTCATACTACTGTGTTGCTGTTTGCTACTCCAAGTTCATTCTATTATCAGAGCTCCTAAAAATTGACATTATTGAAAGGTGGTAAATCTTTCTTTTTGCCTACTTATCATCTGGGAGTGGTTACCCTGAGGAACCTTCATCTACCCCTAGACACAGCTTCACATCTATTGGGCTCCAACATGCAAGACAACACAGAGCTCTTAAAGTGGACACTGCAAATTTTACATGAAAATTCTCTTTCTTTCATATTTAACCCTAGCCATCTAGTTCTGAGGAACCATAGAAAGCTTACCTGCTGCTTGATATTTATTTCTTCTCACTAGGCATCCAGAAGACCTCTCAGATTGGAGGCAGTGAGTTATCTCTGAAAGCAGGCCTGCTAAAAAATACTGTTGTTTATTGTGAATAGTGATGGGCCGAACACCCTTCTGTTCAGTTTGCGGTTGAACATACGAACCTACAGATGTTCAACAGCGAACTTCGAACACATACCGAACAACTGAGCGGTATCTTACTGCATCTGAGTATGTGGTAAGATACCACTCAGGTACTAAAATACCACATGAGTTATATTATGAAGTCATGCTGTATTTTAGTAGTGAAACATTCATTCATGTTTCAGCTGTCAATGGGGTTCCCCGCTGACAGCTTAATGTCAAAAAGAATTGTTGGCATTGCCCGACAATTAAAAAAATTTAAAGAAAAACAACGTGGGGTCCCCCATGCCATTCATATCAAGTCCTTCGGGTCTGGTATGGATTTTGAGGGGAACCCCCATGCCAACATTTAAAAAAAAATGACGTGGGGGTCCCCCCCAAAATCCTTACCAGACCCCTATCCAAACATGTAGCCTGGAAGGTCAGAAAAGGGGGGGGACGAGCGAGCTCCCTCCCCTCCTGAACCATACTAAGCCACATGCCCTCAACATGGGGGGGTGCTTTGGGGCAGGGGGGATCCCCCCAAAGCACTTTGTCCGCATGTTGATGGGGACAAGGTCCTCTTCCCCAGGGCCTGTGGTTGTGTGGGTCTGCGGGTGAGAGCTTATTGGAATCTGGAAGCCCAGAAAGGCCCCCAGACCTTGACACCCCCCATGTGAATGAGTATGCGGTACCCATTCACACAAAAAAAATGTAGCATAAAAAATGACAGGAGACAGTCTCTGACAAGTCCTTTATTAAAAATAAAAATTAAAAAGATATCCACCAAAGTAGATCCAACATCAATCACGATGCCTGCTGCCACCGCTACCCGAAAAAAGACAAAACAATATGCTCCGCTCGCGACTCTGGCTCCCACCGTCTGACAGCTGCACCCACAATAACAGTTCTTATATATTGTGATGACATCAGAAGAGTGAACCCCGCCCCCTTGTGGCATCATCGCGCGCTGTGATTGGTCAAAGAAATGCATCTGGCCTGTGGTCAGGTGCATTGCTTTGACCAATCACAATGCACTGTCAGAGTGTAGTGCAGTGTGGGGCACAGCGGGTGAACACATCCCATGTTCGACTTGAACATGCAGCCCATCCCCAATTGTGAATGTTGATATATTGGTTCACAATTGCTACTAATACCAATGCCAATGTTATTCTGTTATCCTTGATTCAGTTACCTTGCAACTCAATATAAACTTTCTTGTGGTTTAAACTACTCTTTGTGTGAGTCCATTTTGCGGGTGTGAATTATCTGGGTCACCACAGCATGGTGGTGTCAACAGAGGTTGGGCTTTCAACGGGAGGTCCAGATTGCCAGGGAACTCAAACTATTTAACCCAAACTAAAGCAACCCTCAAGGGAGTTCTACTATACTTTGTTACCTCCCTCTCTGGTTATTACTAAAGAGAGCAATGGGGTCGGGATTTGGAATTATAGTTCCTTGGCTTCCCTGTTAATAACAAAACACCATTATTTTAAATATTACTTATTCAAATCAGATCTATATATGTTTTTGATGCGTTGATTCTCTGTCATTTCATCCTTTTGAATACATCCCCCCTCTTTATACTGAAACACAGCAAATTCAGATAAGAAATTTGACAATACACACATAATGCTGAACATTTATTAAGTAAATATTTGACTCGTCACTTTTTCTCTTTAGATTGCTGACACATAAGACAATACAGTATAACTTTTATATTTGTATACATCTGTTCTTCTTTTTAGGTGGGCCTTTCAATGCTTGCTACCAGTCCAGACTTGAACTTCACATAATTGCAGAAATTCTGCTTTTCCACGTATAATTATATTGACGTATCTGCCAACCATGCCATGACATTGGAAGTTTTGTGTTCCTCCATCTGGGATAGATGTAACCACTCCACACCTGAGAAGTGAAATCAGTAATAATTTATTTATTTAAAAAAGCAGCAACATAATACGTAAAGCAGAATAACGCAATAAAAGATCAAATGAAAAAGCAGCTTTTCTTGCAAAGCATATCTCTGATCTTGCACAATCCCCCACAGCACTAAGTTTTGGCCACTAGATGACTTCAGTTTTTCAGGTTAAGTGACAATCAGCATCATCATCCCACTTCCTCTGAGCCCAGACTGGCAAGGACACACCTCCTGGGGCAGCATCATGATGCAGATCTCAGACTATTTCAACAGTGAGGACCACCCCCTAATGCTGCTAAAGAAAGAGAAGTGTAAGGTCCCTTGATATCACTGGGTCAGAAGCCCACTTGAAAAGAATATATATATATTGTATATACAGGTCTTAAAGTGTCACTTAATCCACAACAGTAAAATCAAGTACCAGTAAAAAGTCTGTAAATACAATAAAGCACGCTTGTTATACTCTCTGCTAAACATTTTGCCATTTGGCGCAAAATAGGCTGTTTGATCCTGTCTTCTCTGATCCTCCCCTTATTTTAATGTCCCCAATCCATCTGCTGATAGTAAAGAGCCCTGGGAGTCACTCTGCACATGCTCAGTTTAGTGTGTATGGCTAGAGAGTTTTTTTTGGGAGGATGGTACATGTGATCAACACAGTGTCAATCAGCATGGTTTAGACCAGGGGTCCTCAAACTTTTTAAACAGGGGGCCAGTTCACTGTCCCTCAGACCATTGGAGGGCCAGACTATAGTTTTCAAAAAAAAAACTATGGTCATCTCCTGTACTGTGTCCACATTTGTTCAGAGACTGCGGACATACAACGGTGGTGGGAATACTGGGCCGCTCTATAAGACGCACAGACATTTCCCCCCAAGTGTGTCTTATGGAGCAAAATAGTGTCCCATCATTGGTGTCAGTGGGAGGAATAGTGCCCCACAATTGGTGTCAGTGGGAAGAATAGTGCCACATCATTGGTGTCAGTGGGAGGAATAGTGCCCTATCATTGGTGTCAGTGGGAGGAATAGTGCCCCATCATTGGTGTCAGTGGGAGAAATAGTGCCCCATCATTGGTGTCAGTGGGAGGAATAGTGCCCCATCATTGGTGTCAGTGGGAGGAATAGTTCCCCATCATTGGTGTCAGTGGGAAGAATCGTGCCCCATCATTGGTGTCAGTGGGAGGAATAGTGCCCAATCATTGGTGTCAGTGGGAAGAATCGTGCCCCATCATTAGTGTCAGTGGGAGGAATAGTGCTTCATCATTGGTGTCAGTGGGAGGAATAGTACGTCATTGGTGCCAGTGGGGGGGGGATGGAATAGTGCCCCATCGTTGGTGTCAGTGGGGGGAGGAATAGTGGCCCATCGTTGGTGTCAGTGGGGGGAGGAATAGTGTCCCATCGTTGGTGTCAGTGGGGGGAGGAATAGTGCCCCATTGTTGGTGTCAGTGGGGGGAGGAATAGTGCCCCATCATTGGTGTCAGTGGGAGGAATAATGCCCCATCATTATTATCAGTGACACCAATGATGGGGCACTAATAAATATTAAAACTAGTGTAGCGCTAGTAAACTAAATCATAAAAACATATGTAAATCAATCCTTATGTGGATAGTGAAAATAAAATATATAGACCCTGTGATAGACCTCACAGTGTCCTAATCCTCTTAGTGCCCTACACACGTGCCACTTACTTCATAAACAATATTTATAAAACATATATCATGGTAGTGCTATTTCATATTTTACTACTACTAAACATATATCCTGTGATATTGCCACTTCCAAAGCATATAACATGTGATCGTGCCACTTCAATTTATACTAATCAATAGTCCAATGTTCAAATAATGAAGAATATAAAGCAATATAATTCAGGTGATGCTTATATACACATGCAGTGTGTCATTAGTGCCACTCGTGTAAACACACTCTTTCACTCCAGCTGCAGTGCCTCCTCACCTCCTTTCAGCGACCCCTAAGGGCCTACAAGCCTTTAGGATCACCCTGGATCCTCAACAATCCTGGTTGGTAACTCTCCTTCCTAGGCTGTCCTCCTATTTGGCCTCCTCCACACCTTCCCTTTATGATTTATAGGGTCCTCTAAAACGATCCTCTGCAAATTCTCACTCACATGATGATAGTGAGCCAAAAAGAGATATTTCACTGTATATTTCTTTCAGATTTGTGTGGCTTTTATACCAAAGGTTAACGCAGGTAGGAAGAGGATTCATCAGGTGCAAACACTTGGCCCATAGCAGAAACTTAAAAACACTGGCCTATATACAATATACAATAGGAATGAGAGCTGAAGTGGTTGAAGGGAAAAAGAATATGTAAAAATCATCCCTACCTGGGATTATTGTTACCATTGTCGCTCAGAGAGTTTCCAACAAGAATTTCAGCACCGTTCAGTCTTTCACTCCATCCACGTCTATTAGTGATGGTGATGTAGGCAATTTTGTACGGTCTCAGCAAGTCCACCCTCCACCAGGGAGACAATTCATTGTGTGAATGTGAGCAGGAACCGTGGTGAAACAGAGGGTCCAGGTTGCCATCAATTGCATTTATTGCTGCTGACTGGAAGCCAAATTCTACCAAGTTTAAAATTGAGGACTGAGTTGCTCGACCTTGAAGGGCAACATTCCGATCTGTTAGACAATGTGAGAGTAGAGCTACATATTACTCAATGTACAAACAGTAAGAGAGAGGAGATACGTGAGACATAGTGCCCAGGCATACAAGAGATTTCTAATAGCTTTTATCACGATAAGATATTTTGCCGTATTTTCTTTTATCAGTAGACATTTACAACTGTCACCAGGTCTCTTCACCTTAGAGTCTTGTCTGAGTAATTGTCCCTGACCTCCATCTCACAAGTACTCTAGCTCTCCATGTATGTCTGTGCTGTCATTCATTGTTAGTGTACTATTACTCAACAATGATCAGCTGATTTCATGCTTGGAAGTAAAGTAATCCCAAACAAGTAACCCAATTTGTGTCCCCACTTGTAGTTTAACAAACATTGCTCTGGTCTATATGCGACTGTTCAGCAGATTAGCCTACTTCCTTTTGGTAAGGAGCCAGGGAAGAATTTCCTTCACCTTTTTGGGATGTGTTCTGCTAGTGAGGGATTTGTTCCTGTGTGAGGTGAAGGAAGTGGCAGGCAAAGTGGAGCAGCCATGAGGGTCAGGAACAAAGTGGAAACTGAGCGGCATGACAGCACTGTTGAGTTGAAGGCACTAGGGAGTGACAGTGGTGTACGGAGAGGTAATTCAAAACAAAGATATGTGACAGCAGTGGTAGTGAGGCTGAGGAAAGGATCATTGGAGTGGTGAGAAGGATCGCTGGAGCAGCATTGTGTGTACTGAGAACTCTGCTAGTACTGAAGGCAACTGAGCTACTGAGACCTTGTGAATACTGAGGCATGTGAGTACAGAGGCATTGTGAGTAATGAGGCACTGTGAGAACTAAGGAATTGTGAGTGCTGAAGCACTGTGAGTACTGAGGGGTACTGTGAGTACTGAAGAGCATGAGTACTGAGGGTCACTGTGAGTCCTGAAAAGCACTGTGAGTATTGAGGGGCACTGTGAGTCCTGGAAAGCACTTGGAGAACTGAGGCACTGCAAGTATTGAAAGGCACTGTAACTATGGAAGGGGCATTGTGAGCAGTGGTGCATTTTGTTTTTGTGCTGCCCTAGGCAACACAAAATCTTGGGATGGGGAGAGATCTTCCACAGTTCTCCAGAATGACACCCCTGAGCCATGATCAGGACAGCCCAGTGTCTTCCTTGTGCACTGATCTCTGCCACTGATCCAGGAATTCTCAGAAATACTGCCTGTACCTTGAGCCACAGGAGCTTTGAAAGCTAAACAAACAACTGAGGAACTAGTGTAAGAAGGAGGGTTTTGGGTTCATGGAGAACATGGCCAACTTTGCGATCAGTTACTGGCTCTACAGCAGAAACAAACTGCACCTAAGTGGGGAGGGTTCAGCTTTGTTTAGGGAGTAAACTATTGACCTAACAAACCAACCCTGCTTGATGTGTTGCTTCCTTGAGGAAGTCCTGAGGAAGAAGAGGACAGATCGTGTCAAACAGGGTTGGTCCGCAACCTCAGCTTGCTAGTGGGAGAAGTTTCAGCAAAACTATTGAGTGAAGTAAGCAGCTGCAGTGATTGCAGTGAGACCAAGTGGTGGAGTGAATGCACAGGGGCCATTACATGCAGTATTATGAGTTCTGTTTATGTGAGTTTTATTTTGAGGTCAATAAACTTTATTTTATATGGAGAGCATTAGATGGTCTTCTTATGTAATTTTGATGAATTGCTGTATGTGGTGAAGGCTGCATTGTCAAGCAGGGAGATGTCTCTCTAAAAGAGGATTTTGTGCATTGGCTGGCATTCCACAAGGAGACTATGACAAAAAGGTCTAGCTATAGTATCTATATGATGGCAAGGTTTAATTGACCTTCTATATGTAGAAGGGTAAAATCCTGGTGTGAGCAAGTTTTGCACATGCACATGTGGTTATCAAAGGGTGGCACTGAATGAAGAGCACTTTGGATGAATATTTATGAGTGCATATGATATCTGTGGACACATTAATGAGCTTTACAGAGTTTATAATCACATATTATTGAAGCACATAGGTTTGTGACACTTTTGGGCAGAGTGCCATTTAAAGTGTTTTGTTCACTTATTTTGGTGCACGAATGTTATAGCGATTTATTTGATGTAAATGTTTTGGATTGAGAGATTTTTGAGTCATTTTTTGGTGATTTATATTCACATTTTGGTTTCATCACCATAAGAAGTGGAGCACTATCCTTTTTAATACATCCTGAGTATGCTGTCCGGTTCTAGTCACTGATCCTCAGAATGGATGTATTTAAATTGGAGAGAAGCCAGAGAAGTGCAACAAACCTAAAAAGGGGGCTAGAGAACCCCAGATATGAAGAACAACTATAAACATTAAACTTATTCTCCTTGGAGAAGAAACACTTAAGAAGAGATATGATCACAATATACAAATCTTTAAATGCTGACTCATACATTGCAAGGAAGCTATTTAATCTAAGATCTGTAATTAAGACATATGGCCACACGATGAAGTTGAACAAGAAGAGGTTCAATCTTAAAATGCATAAGGAGTTCTTTACTGTTAGAGCAGTGAAGATGTGGAACACTCTTCCACAATTGGTGGTGTCAGTGGAGAGAGTGGATACATTAAAAAAACTTTTAGATGTGTTTTATATCGAACGCAGTATACAAGGATATGGAAATTTGTAGTGACACATGCACTTAGGTTGAACTGCATGAGCTAGTGTCTTTAATCAATCTTACCAACTATGTAACTATGTAAAAAGAATCCAGCAGGTGAATGGTGCTAGTGAGTGTGACAAGACTAGTATGTTTTTATTTAATAAGGCCTTTTATTGATAAGACTCTGCAACCCCATTCCACTATACATGCATTAGAAAAGGAGGGGGTGTTTATGTATGAAAGTACAGTATATTTAAATGTTTAAAAAATCTGTTCTCACTGAAAAGATACATATGCAATGAGATTATATTTATGATTCTTCTGAGCAGGCTAGATAGATAGATAGATAGATAGAGAGATAGATAGATAGATAGATAGATAGATAGATAGATAGATAGATAATAGATAGATAGATAGATAGATAGATAGATAGATAGAGAGATAGATAGATAGAATTGAGGTTGACCTATCTGTCATCTTACCACACATTTCTATATCTCATCATTTATATGTGGGTTATACATAATTAATTAACTATTACAATATTAATGTCATTTTAATATATTTAATTATATCTATATATATTTAAGTTCCAAACAGACAGGACTTACATTTCTCACAAGAGTTATGAGCAGAAACCCCACAGAGAATCCACAAGAAGAAGGCAATGTGTAGAAATGTCATTCTTATGGTTTGGTAGATTCTACAGAAATTCACCTATATGGGGAAAATATAGGAAAAATAAACATAATGTTACCCTGCCACAATAAAACGCAGGTATAGCATAAAGCTGGTTTTGACTGTATTTGCTGTTTGATTTTAGATTCTCAGATTTGTGTAGACCTAACTATTACAAATCAATCAATATAAAGCATAGCAATGATGGAGGTAAACTTTCTTTTTGATTTTAGAAATATAACCTTTAGGTGGTCAATATAGTATATGTAAGGCCAAAAATGTGGGCTTATAGGTCACTGATGTTACCAGCATCCCTGCCCCTTTGTTGCTTGCAGCTTTTGGGTGAGGAATTGCCCAGGCAATGTTGACTGGACCAGTGGCGTGCTACCATGTGAGAGCTTTCTATGAGTTTGGGCTGAACTGGTTTCAACTTAACCTTAGCTCATCCTTAATTGTCATTGATACAAAAATTGATGGGAAACTTTAAATGTTAGAGCATGACTTATCTTTAGGGACAATGATGACCCAGACAAAAAGAAAGGGTTAATCTTTGCAAAAGCAACACACATCAAATTAAAAAAACAATGCACCAGTTCTTGCTTGCAACTGAAATACACGTGTTGGTCTAATTTGGCTTTTAAAATCTATCTCCAGAAAAATAGGCACCCATCGTATTACCCATCCACTCTTCCACACATTCACACATCAGAAAGTGCACTATGGGGGGGGGGGGGGGGGAGGTAATGGGAATAAAGATAGTAAGAAATGTAATTAATGATTTGGAAATGGTTTTTTGTATGAGAATAATAAAAAAAAACAATGTGCAACCATTTTTCTTTGATGAAATATGTATTTTATATGGAAAATAAATAAATATTTAAATACAAAAAAAAAAAAGAAAGTGCACTATGGGTAATTAGCTGATATAATTGCATGACTGAACTCTTGTGCACAAAGCCAGCTCCATAAAGATATAGTTTTGAGTTTGGTGTGGTGGAAATCAAGTGGCCTGCAAACCCTACTGAACACCTCCCTTTTCACACTTTCTTTTGGTAGTATTTGATCATCACTGGTTTTTTATTTTTTTGCGTTATAAATGAAAAAAGACCAAAAATTAAAAAAAACAATATTTTTTACTTTTTGCTATACAACATATCCAATAAAAAATAAAGAAAATTTCTTCATAAATTTAGGCCAAAATGTATTCTACTTTGGTAATAAAAATCCCAATAAGCGTATATCAATTGGTTTGTGTGAAAGTTATAGCATCTACAAATGACGGTATATACACTGGAATTTTTATTTATTTATTTTTTATACTAGAAATGGCGGCGATCAACGACTTGTGGGACTGCAATAGTACGTTGGGCATTCCGACAGTAACTGACACTGGGCGGGAACTAACTGCCACTGACATCTTCAGTGACACTTAATAGAGTGATCAGTGCTAATAAAAAGTACTGACACATAACAGCTTCAACTGGGAGGGAGGGGCCTGAGCATGGCGCTGGGAGACTGCTAAATGAAGGAGCTCCCGCCGACCATCATGGAGAAGCTGCCCGGGGCTTGATCTACACTACACCACTCCGGAAACTCACCTGACCTGACTGTTGGTTTCCGGTTGGTGCTGTGTGGTGTCCCCCCAGTGCTGGTTATGTGCGGCCGGTGGAGATGGTGAACCCTGGTGGTTGGATTGAACGGCAGCAGTGAGGGGCTGGGATCCTGGATCCCTCGGAGTGACCGGCGTCGGCTGATGGAGGAGCTCCCCAGAGCACTGGAGGCACTGGGAGAGGGCTAAGAGGATGTGCCCGAGCGAGGAAGGACCCCAGCAGAGGTGGTCTGTGAAGGGATGCACTAGACTGGCTGGATGACACACTGCAGGAGATCCAGAGTCCAGGAGATACCAAAAACACACAGGACATTGGGTCACAGGGCAACATGAGCCCCTGTCCAGACTCCCCTCAGGTGATATCAGAATTTGGGACAGGAGACACCAACGGGGACAGATAAGAGCACAGAGACAGACGGACCCAGAACCCCAGGCTTGAGGGTGATGGTGAGTTGCTGTGGACAACGGCAGGAGATTTAAAGTCTTTATTGTCTACTGTTGCTAAGCAATTGTATACCTGAGGTGTAGGGCCAGGCGGTCAGAAGATTAAGGAGTCGGGGTATCTCAGGGGCCAAGTATTGTTACTAATGACGTGGACATTATAAATGTTTTTGGGACTGTATAAGTTACTGGAGAAGAATAAGGAAGACGCCCCCCCGCCCCCCCCCCATAGGTGTGAAAATAGTGTATTCTGAATTTTGAGTAGATTATCTGCTGCTAAGCGTAGTTAACCATTTCAATACCGGGCAATTTTCCCCCTTCCTGACAAGGCCGTTTTTCAGGTTTCAGCGCTCTCACATTTTGAATGACAATTACGCGGTCATACAACATTGTACCCAAACTAAAATTTTTTTCATCATTTTCTTCACACAACTAGAGCTTTCTTTTGGTGGTATTTAATCATCACTGGGGTTTTTATTTTTTTGCTAAATTCACAAAAAAAGACCAAAGATTTTGAAAAAAAAACCAAGTTTTTTCTTTGTTTCTGTTATAAAAGTTTGCAAATAAATAATTGTTCTTCATAAATTTAGGCTGAGATGTATTCTGCTACATGTCCTTGGTGAAAATAACCCAAATTAGGAGGGATTTTTTAGTTTGTAGGAAGGTTTTAGAGTTCACAAACTATGGTATAGATCTGAAAATTGATCAATCCTGAAGTACTGACAGCCAATCTAATTTCTTGAGGTCCAAGAATGTCAGAACAGTACAGATATCCCCCAAATGACCCCTTTTTTGCAAAGTAGACAGTCCGACGTACTTCATAAGAGGCATGGCGAGTTTTTTTGAAGTTGTATTTTTTTTGGCATATTTTTTCGGAAAATGAAAAAATAAAAAAAAAAAACAATTGTTTTCACTACTTTTTTTACATAATGTCACCAGTGCAGTACAGTGTCATCATATAACTGGCATGTCGGTGATCAGGTACACTGACTGGTGACAGTGTGAAAAAAAAAATATATTTTTTTTTACATTTTTTTTATTATTTTAAATTTTTTATTACTTTTTTTACTTTCTTTAAGATGTTTTTTCATATTTCACTATGTCCAAAGTAGTACAATGTTACCATAGTAGTAACATTGTACTACTTTGGGGAAGTGATCAGTATTTTTTTTTTTTTACACAATTTGCTTTGCTATAAGCAATCATTTACCTGAATGACACTGATTCATTCAGGATTTTTTATTTTTTTTCTTTGTGCTTAGCTGTGATTTAGCCACAGCTAATCACATGACATGTGCATGTGATTAGCATGAATGAAGCCATCCATTGTATACAACTGTCATGTGACCTGCTGTGATTGGTCACAGCAGGTCACATGGTACCGGCAACGGGGGCCGGTACTCAGATCTGTCATTGGCTGTGTCCGAGGTACACGGCCGGTGACAGATTGTGCTGCTGCGGGGCTTTGAAAGCGCGCGCGAACTGCGCATGTGCGGGAGGACACCATATGGCGGCCTCCCGGAAAGCTAGTACATTTTTCAGGATGCCATACGGTTATTGGGCCGGGCGTCAAATGGTTAATATGAAGAGCAGATCCACTAAAGGTGGGGGAGGGAAAACCCTGCAATCTAGTGCAAATACTAGCACAATAAAGAAATACTTGCCATTACAGGAAAAAAACCCAGAGATACAATTTCCGGTGAAACAACAGGAAGGAAGTAGAAAATATGACGTGGAGCAGTCTAGATTGTCATTTGGAGTATGGGAAGAGAATCGGACTAATTAATCTCTAAATATTAGCACAAACAAATCAAACTGCGCAAATTTCCAGTTCTTCTAGTATACAAAGCTGCAAATATACTTAAGAGGATATCCTTTCTTCTCATATACAATAATAAATAAAAATATTGCGCTCTGTATAACAAATTATAAAAAAATAAAAACATATATTCATTGTGAGACTACTCATACCGATGAAAAGTGATCAAAACAGTGAAAAAATATATATAAACAGTGACATATATAGTCCATGCAAAGGTCCGTGTGAATATAGGGCTCCACAATCAATTAATGAAGCTAATCTCCAATCTCATAAATGTGTTGTTGTTACTGTGAATCCTGTTGCATCCAGTTAATCACCAATAAGTGCACCACCACCATGTGAATAAATGGAGGCTTACCAGATGCAAAGACCCCTTAACTATAAGGGGTCTTTACCAGCATTGTGTTGTAAGATATCATCCAGATTTCCATTCCATATCAGAATCAAAGATCTCCCAAATCTTTCAAATCAGAATGTAAACTCCACAGGCATTAGCGAGTCTTCCCCATTGTGATACCAAAATAGTGTCATGGAAGATAAATCATACCTTTCATAGTGCAATATGTTTGATAAGCCTTTATTTGCACAAATAAAAATCCTACTTACAAGTTTAGGAATAATAAAAAGCATTAAAAAAAACGCTTCCGGGGGGCGTGGCTGAGCCGCGAGTGAAGATGGCCGCATGATCACGGAGCTCCCGCCGGCCGGTTCCTACCTTTCTGCCGCTCTGCACTGACGGGTGAGACATCTCCCCTCTGCTATGGGGAAGCCCGACAGGGCACCCTCTGGGGCCAGATCGCGGTCCCCGCGGGGTCAGAACGCTCAGGGGAGGCATATAAAGGAGCTCTTCCGCTCCCAGCTGAAAGACGGGCCGCAGCCCTCTCCCTCTCCAGCTTCATCCCCCTCTCCCCCTCCCTCTGCAGTCTCTGACACAGGCTCTGCAAGCACAGCCGAATATGCTGTGCTGGACACAGTGCCACAGCTGGATTCCTCACGTGCTACACATTCCCTATCATTAAGGGACCTCCAGGCTGTGGCAGCTGATATAAAGACCACCTTAACCACTACATTAACCTCTGCCCTAACTGAATTAAGGGATGACATCCGCTCTATGGGCACAAGGGTGGAGCGGGTGGAGCTGGATACTAGGCAGAATTAGGCGGCAATTTCTGATTTACAA